GCTTAAATTTCCACAAAATGCCACAGATTTTTCTATGGGGGGGGGGTAACAATATACAACATATTCAGTTCTAGAATTTATATTCAGTGTTAATTGTAGCTAGGCTCAAACTGTTAATGCTATCTTATTTTAATAGGCAACACTGTTATATGCATAACTAGGGTGGCACTAGGGTGCGACATACCACTCCATGCCACCCCTGTAGAGCCACCCCTGGACGAATCATCCTGACTGATTTTTGTTTTCCTCTAAATTATTATGATTTATTGTTACTTGTGTTGCCTGCAGGAGGATTATGACTTATCCAGTTATATATCTGCATCCATTGGACAGAGGGACTCAGAATCTGAAAATTTGTTGACTCTGGTTAGTGATGTGTGATACTTTGAGTGTACCCCATAATGTACAGGACAGTAAGATGGCAGACTTATATGTATGTAGTTAGTGAAGTCCGACGTCAGGCACAGCCTGCCATGGTAAACATGCTAAACATTGCTTTTTTAATATGCTGATGTTGGCTTTTAGAACTTATGTATCCGAGCACAGCCGCTGCCAAGATGGCTCTAACCTCTTAGCCTTGTTAAACTCTAATATCAATATATCCCAAAAATCCAATATCAGTAAAGCTATTTGTATAATGAGGGAAAATTGATGTTGCAAACAGGATTTTGTGTGTGCATGTACAGACAGTGTGATTGTTGACTTGCACAACACACTTACTGCTCATCCCTGCTGATGCATTACGTGCTATGCATGCTGTTGGTCCCGGGCAGATGTTAATTTATTCATGACCAGTGCTCTGTCTCTGTCAGGGAAGATTAGCAGCGAGCAGTGGTACTGTACCTAATCCTATCCTCTCTTTTCTTCATTTTGGACCTTATTGTGTTTGCTTGCTGTCAAGTAAACCATATTGAAATTAACTCTGCTTTAAGGTTGTTTTGGGGAAGGCTAAGAAAACACGACTGACTTCTGTCTGAAGGTGTTTCTATCTCATTTCTTGTTTGTCCTTTCTTCTGAGCAGTCAGTCAGTCTGTCTGCTTCTCAGTGATCATATGCACCCATATAGACGTGCAGGGAGCCTTACATCAGCACAGCCCCTGTAATCCAGCAGCAGAGCGACGTCATCTGCTGCCATCCAGTGAGAGGAGCGGGGGACGGGTTTGCCAGCCAACTGTAAGGAGACCTAATGAGGCATAGGGCTTCCTGATGCATGGTACATGTGGTTTCAGCCGGCGTTTTAACTTCTTAAAAACGACACTAAAAATATAGCCAATTTGTCATTCAGTCATGGGAATGTGCTTCAGAAGAAGAACAGATGTGGAGTCTGTCACGATGAGCTGCCGTGAAATGTGAAAAGAAATGACAGAAAAGGGGAGTTCAAGAGTTGCTGTGTTTTTATCCTCGTCCATCTGTATCTCAAGTGCTGTGAGAATACAGAGACTGCAGTAGCCAAGCAGCCAATCAGATTGCGGCACTCAGAAGCCAGTCAGAGGCAAGACAACAGACATGCCCAGAAACACACAGGTGCTTTCATCTGCTTATTCTGTGCCGGTTTTGTAATATCCACAATAATGGATGAGACTGTTTATCAAAGAAACACAGTTTTATGTTGCATTCTTATGCAATCAAGACTTTATTAAAAATGACTTTTGCATAAAGTAATAAAAACACATTACAACAAACTGAGATAGGACCTTCTGTTTACATGTTTTACACTCAGAACTGGATTTTTCTTTTACATTTTTTACAAAAATGTTTTTTCTCTCTTGCTGCAGTTGATGTAGTATTACTGAAAGGCCACTAGGGACTGATAGAGGACCTGAAAAATGAGCTTTGTATTTGTGAGACTGTGCACACTGTAATGGTTTAGTTAAAATACTTAACACTTACACTTAAAAGCAGTCTTTTTTGCAAGTGCATACAAATTTTAATGTTATTCTTATAGTTACAAGTTATATATTTTAAATTCCAACAGGGTTGTAGACTTTTAATCATCAACAAGTTTGGCTTCTGGGTTCAGCTTCTTAATATTTGTTTTTTTCTTGAATGGTTCTAAATTGGATATCACAAACTCTACAGCAAGTCTGAGTACACTGTTTGGAGACTGGTTGCCTCCTGCCAGACAACCTGCACAGTCACCTTGGGTTCACCTTGCATGCCTCGCCTCACCCAGAGGTTAATGGGAGGATTGCTCAACCTCGGGGTCTCCAGTTGTTTGCTACAACTGCTTGCAATCGGTCACTGAATGCAAAAAATCACCACAAAATCGCCACAATTTTATTTTCTAGCTGGGATCCTATTTTGTGTTCTAGTGTGACTGAAGCACATTCAGCAAAGATATATAGTGCAGAAGAAGATGCTCTACATTTTCACTAGTAGAGCGTCTCCTTCTCTATAATTTACAATATTCTGAAAACTGACTGGAGGGCACGTAGCAGAGTAGCATCCCAGCTGTGTAGTGGTGTGTTTGGTTTAAGTTCTTAACTAATGTGTAAGACACATGGCTGAGCAGTAAAAAACAAGACAAAATATAGAATGTTTAACATGAATAGGAATCCGACCAGACAGTCAGTGCAATTTCTTTCTTAGTCTGTGCTTGTGATCTCTATATATCGGTACCAAAACATTTTGAGGTTTAAAACCTGCCTCTGCTGATATAGCTGTCTGTTGCTTTACCAACCATCACTATGTGTATGTAACATCTATACACCATTGTACACAGATTTTACTGGTGCCAGTCCCACCACATCCATGCCATGTGGGTTACTTTCATTGTCAGTTCTTATAGTTTTAGCATCAAAAGGCCCCAACTGGCCCACAACATTAAATGAACTTGTGAAATTTAGGAACCTCAGTTGCCATGGCAACCCATCCTTCTCAAATTCTTTTTGCCTCCCTTCACAGAAGCCATAAAAGACCAAATACGGATCATTAAACTCTGTGTGTGGGGGGGAGTGTGTCATGGTTAACTCTGATTCTGTGGAGCCTTCTGTGAAATCCTAGGCGCAACATACCTGCGGTGACAACAGAAATATATTCCTCTCTTTGTTTATTCCTAGAGTTCATACACATAAAATAGTGCTGCAAATTAAAAATATCTTCAGGGTTTGTCAGGTTCTGAGACATTTTAGCAAATCTTCAACACTGGAAACAGCTTCAGGCTAAAGAAAAATGTGTTTAATAAGCATTTAAATAAGGGTATGACCTCAACTAACAAGGTTAGCATTTATAAGTTATACCAGTGAGTCAAAGCTGTGTTTTTCTAATTTTAGTTGTGTGTGTTGTTAAAGATGAGAGCTAATCCTTAATATTGTCATCTCAGACACGTAGTTTTCACTGAAAGCACAGAAGCCCCACCCACCTGCTATTTAAGCTTTCTGTCTATGAAGGGCAGCCAATTGGAAGAGGAGTAATTAAGAGCTTGTTTCAGACAGTGGCGGGCACAGTATAAGATAAATGAGGATTTTGAACTGCAGTACACCTCTGGACCTCTAATTAGCCTCTATTTAAGTAGAGGCTGATATTTTCTTGACAAATCTTCACACCAGAAATAAACAAATTTCCCACGTGTGGGACTAATAAAGGTTATCTTATCTTAACAAACAAACAAACAAAAACATTAATTAGATTACAAATGTACTTTTGTGTTTTTGATACGATTAAACAGCCAAGAAAAATGTGTTTAAATAGCATACGATAATAGAAAAATAAAAAAAAGACTACATGTAACCAGTGAAAGCAGGACTCAATAATTACACAAAGCATGGTGTAAATCCAAACAGGTTCACTAATATCACCCAAATAACATCTAGCAGATATGCATTTAGCTCACTTTTAAAGCATCTGTGCAATGTGAATGTCTTCAAGTCAAGTCAGGCTTTAGGCTGCAGCTATAGACAGTTAGAGCTATAAAAGATGGATGTAGCTTTTACCATGACGTCATCCACTGGTTTCTGATGTGCCATTTTGAAGCCTTGACATGAGTGTTTCTGCTGTTGCCATCTTGTATGCAAAAAGCCAGTTGTGACGAGCAGGGCCAGGTCTGACGGTGACTTGTGATCAACATTTCATTAACAAATGAAAATGTGGTTTCATATCATAGATATACAAGATTTACAAATTAGACTTAATTTAGAGCCTGGGACTGTTTTTTGTTGCGTATGAATACATAATGTTGTGATTTTTGTCCGTATCTCTGGTGGTGCGCTGAATCTAAATAGGTGGTCATGAAGGAACATGTCATCCAGTGTTTTCAGCGCTTTTTGGTCAAAAAAATATTTCCGTTGTTATTTTGTTTGTTTATTTTTCTGTTTCGAAAACTTTACGGAGAGATTTCTTATCTGTCCATAATTTTATTAGAAGTGAGGGTCTTTAAACTTGCAAAGTAAATAATGTTTGGACTCAATCCATAGGAGAGATTTTT